TCCGTGACCACTGCGCAGACGTAAATCTCATAACACAGCGCGCCATGCAGCGGCTGGGTTTGGTACTCGTGCCCACTCGCACGCACCTAGATACGTCCGCCAGTGTCGATGCCAAGCTTCTGGGGGAAATTGACACGAGGGGAGTTCAAGTGACAATGCTTCCGGGCACGATACACGAGTTCAAGCTCAACCTCACTCAGACACTGGTGGTTGAGAACACGCCTCTGTTCGATTTCTTGGTGGGCAACGAGCAAATGCTACCTGTCGCGGACGCCATCACCCAGTATCCGACAGCGCAGCTCCACCTGTTTCCCAATGTCATCGAGAGTCCGGACTACACAATTAGCATCCCCATGACACCTGCTCTGCGGTCCGCCGCACGAGGGGTCACAGCTAGCCTGCGTTCAACAGCTTTCTGTACCAGGGCCAGCTCTCTTCCCAGCGATATGTCAACAGAGCTGGGGGGGGATGTGTTAGCAACGACAACCCGCAACTCGTTCAATCAACCATCACAACTGCACAGAGCGCATGTGTTAGTCCCTGCAATCACGCCAGCACCCCTACGGCTGCCTCTACCCAGGCGTCAGAGCACTGGTTGGGAATGGATGCAGGTCAGCACATCACAACACATGTAGCACCTCAGTCTGCCAGCACACCCAGGTCAGCCCTGGTGCAGGCAGCATCAGCGATCATCACCACGGTCACTGGCTTCACATCAGCAGCTACCAGTACCGTAGCAGCTACGATTGGAGCCGTAGCAACTGCGGCCACTCCCGTGGTCGTAACACACCAGGAGCCCTTGCCACCGCCCCGGCGAAGCGGCAAGAGGAAACGGGCTAAGGCCCTACGCACAAAAAGCATCAGTGTCACCAAGCGCACATGGACAAGCCTTGCAGCGCTCAGCATGCTGGCAACGCTCCTGCTCTCTCTCGCTGCATGCGCAGGCGCCATGCAGGGCAAGTCGTTCGGTGCCTCAGGGGTAAAAATCGCCACACAAGCCCTTTCCACAGGGGGGCTGCTCCTGAGCGCAGCCAGCTGGGTGCCTGAATCCGTTGGTACGTCTACAACGCGCTCAGGCGCACGAGACCACAACGGGTTTGACTACAACGGCTGGGGAAGGGAAAGCTACAGCCCAGCCGCTTCACTTGCCAGTGTATCCTCCTTTACGCCTGAAGGCAACATGGCAGCAACAGCCTATGAGCGCTACCAAAAGGATCCTGATGGAGGATGGATCTGGGGCAATAGCATCAGCATGAACA